CATTTGATCAGCTAAAAAAAGCAAGACGAATCCCTTTCAATTTACCGAACCGATCCTGTTTTTTTTTTTTTTTTTTTTTTTGTTGTATTCGTTATCACCTGGCCCGCACCAAAAAAAGAATGTTTATTTTTGGGTTCGATTTTTTTTCTATTTTTCTACCTGACTAAAACATTCAAGCCAAATATAACAAAATCAAATGCAAATATTATGTGAAAAAAAAGCGAAAAATAAAACCGAAAGCGTTCAATGAAATGAAAGTATTTTTCAGTATAATTTCTCAGAAAAAAAGGTTTTGTTTATTTATTTTTAAATTCAACAAGTTGTTACGAAAAAAAAGACGAAAATTTCGCCTTTTTTTATCCTAGCTTTATTGTTGTTTGTATGAGCGAAAATCGTTTTTTTTCTGCATTAAATAATCGCATTGCCGAAAAAATGGATTAGGATTATGATCAAATCTTGATCATATTAGCATATCAAACAGAAATAGAGAGAGAAAACGAATAAAATTTTAAATATGGAAATGTTTTCTTTTTCGGTGTTTTTGCTGTTCGCCATGTTAAATTATCATAAAACCAAATTTAAAAAATGAATTGACCATTGAAATTAAAGGGAAATCAAATAAATCAAATAACAATTTACTAACCTCAATTGCATCGCTCATATCTGCATCACTCGAATATCCGATATCTTTCTGTATAATTTCGTATTTTATATTTGCTACTGCTGATGATGATGTTGAATTTTCCATTGATGAACTGAATACACCGGAATCTGCACCTGGTGAACCACTACCACCATCTAAACTATCTCTTGTATCAAATGATAATGTAAGATTATTCGATTGTTCCATTATATTATTATTGGCCATTTGTGATGATAATGTTGATTGATTTCGAGTACTTGTATTGGTTTGAACACGACGATTCTGTATAATGACTGATGATCCACCTGTTCCAATAGATTTGAGTTCTACTTTTTTAATAGAACCAATAGATAGAGATGAAGAATTTGAAGGAAAAGAAGTAACTGGAGAATTTAAGGAATTTGATGATGAGGCAACAACGGCAGCATAGGACGGATTAAAGCTCGAAACAATTAAACTAGATGAGGAAGATGGTTGGGTTGATGGCTTTGCCTGTGGTAATGATCCAATATTATCATTCTTATTATGATGACCAAATAGAATATTTTTATATGAACAATTTAATGATGTTGATTGTTTGATACTATCAGTTGAGAAAATATTTCGATAATGATGATAATGTTCTTGTTGTTGATTTGATTGTGATATAATCAACTTTGATGATGATAATGATTTCGATCGATCCGCAACATTGATTTCATTCAATTTCAGACTTTTATTGTTCCTGGATAATGTATAAAAGTGTGGAATATTAGTAAATTCCAATATGAAAAAGTTAGAAAAAAAAGATAAATTAGAAAATGATAATTTAAATTTGGTAATCAAATCAATCAATGAAAAATAAAATAGGTGTTTTTTTTGCTGTTGTTCCTATTAAAAAGATAAGCGTGCAAAAAAAACAAACAAACACATCCAACCTGAAAAAAAACTGGAATTAGTTAAGGCCATCAGATACAAACACTCAACAATAAATAAATATAAAAAAAAGATTAGAGAGAAAAAAAGCCAATCCTTTTCCAAATCGAATGGTGTAATCAATCAAATTTGATCAAAAATATAGACGAACAACAAAAAAAACATTTTGATCAAATATGCATGCAGCAACACCTTGTCATTGTTATTTCAATCGAAAAAAAAAAATTTGATTTGATGTTTTGTTTTCTTTCTTTTTTTTTGAATCTATGAATATGATTCAAATTCATCGATATATACAAAAAAAAATATTCGAGATTGGAATAATAAATAACTTGATTTTTATAAATATAATGATGAATTGAATTGAATGAAAAGCTTTCTTGACTAGATATCGGATGTTGCCAATCGATTTGGACGATTAAAAATGATTGATTGATTGATTGATGGATCGAACTTATGAGAGAGATAGAGTAAGATAGAGTAATTCGTAATCATCATTGTCAAAATATCAATATAATCATCATCATCATTATTATTATTACAACAATGACAATGAAGATGATGATGATGAATCTAAATGATTAGAATTATCGTTGAGAAGAAAAAAAAACGGAAATCATAATCAGGAAGTGAACCAAAAAACAAAAAAAAATTGAATGAAATTAAAATCCATCGATTGATGATAAAATTGAATGACTAAATTTGAAAACAAAAATCGATCAATTTGATTTCGAGTAACATGAACCATTGTGATGATACCCGAAAACAAAACGACATTTATCGATTCAAAAATTATTTGTGTCAACATTCTGTTTGGATCGATTGAAAATTTTAACGATCTAATTTTGCTATTCAATTGTAAAGTTTTTTTTGAAAAAAATAATCTATCCTGTATGAATCGATTCGTTCGTGGGAAATTATTTTTCATTTAGATACGCAAATATCTATTAGTAAACTACTCAATATATTTAAAGTGTGTGTGTGTGTGTGCACGAAAAGCAGGTGAAATTTTTAAATGATATATAAAAGTACCAAGAAAAAAAAAGAAGAAATTATGGGAAAATTTTATCAAACAAACAAATACTTACACAAAATAATGACGTGGACAACGTTTGCCTGAATGTTTCTGCAATATTGTTAAATATTCCAATGATTTTAGCCAAAGATTTAGGCATCGATCTTTTTGCTGTTTAATCGAACGTAGTAGATTGTTGTTGTTGTTGTTGGATGATTTTGTTGCTGTTGTTGAATTGGATTCACCTGCATAATCATTGATAATGATCGATCCAATAGCAGAAGTCGAAACTGTTGAAATAGTATCGCCAGATTTGGTTAATTGATTAATATTTTTGAAAAATTGATGTGTTATCTTTTCAAATTCATTTTGATAAGCCTGTCAAACAGAAAAAAAATTTGAAAATTATTAATAAAGTAAATTGAAATCCAATGGTACTTGTAATCATCTAATGATGATGAAGTAAGCAAAAAAATAAATAAATAAGGTTCCATAATGATTTTCAAAATCCTAGAATTTGTTTACTCGTCCAAAAAAAATGGAGAAAATGAAAAATCGACAAGTGCCATCCCATTTAATGTATACTTGATAATAACACCAAATGGTCACAACAGGGTAGATTTAGTTTCTCTTTTCCATTCAATTCACAATAACAAATACAAGTTTTTTTTCAAAAGGTGGGTGGATCGTATTCGAATCTTATCATCATACAAAAACACATTCGATTTTTCTGATGACAAAAAAAAAATCCAGAAAAAAATGACTAGCCCATTTGAATTCAAACAATAGGTCAAAGTTCAGTGCACAATGCATTTAATAAATGATTAAATCAAACGGATGTTGAATATCCGGACAGTTGAACCAAAGAAAGACTTTGTAATTAAAATTCATTCATTCATCATCATCATCGTAAACGTTGACAATTCAATTTGAATCAATTAAATTTAATTTAAAAGAGAGAGAATGAGAATTGAAGAGAATTAAAGAGACAAAAACGTGTGCATGTCATCAATTTAAATTGGACGTAAACACGTGTGTCTGTAAAGTAATTGTAGCAAAAAAATGAAGAAGAAGAAAATTCAAATAACCAACAACGGAAATGATCAATTTATTTATGTATCTGGTAAGTTTATGTGAAAATAGATGATGATGATGATGAGAAAATGCAAAAATTTGTCCATTCATTTGTTTGGTTGGTTAATCGATGATGGAAATCATCATTGCATTAAGTATTTCAAAAAAAAAACAGGTGGGAATTGTTCTAGTTTCTTTTTCGGATTGTTGTTTAAGAAAAAAAAAGAATTCATTTTAAAGTTTTTTTTTGTTTGTAAATTTCTTTGTAAAAAGAATGAATGAACAAACTATTTTTTGATCATTAAATATAATTTTGTTTGACCTAGATTTTGTTTGTTGAAAATTTTATTTCTCTCATTTGAATATTTGTTTATAATGCAAAAAGCGAAAAACAATGGATTTTAAATTGATTATCATTCAAATTATTTTCCAAACAAAAAAACTAGTGGGTGAATATTTTCGGGTTTAAAGAACAAACAAAAATCAATTAAAATTGTCACCAATTAATTGATGATGATAATGATAAGAAAAACAATAAAAAAAATGTTTGAATTTCTAAATTAAAATTCAACAATTCTTCCGAATACCCGAAACAAAGAAATTATTTTTTTTCGAATGTTCAGGTGAAAAAAATAAAATAATCTACTCATTTGAATCATCCATAACCAACGTAACCGGTGAAATGGTTAAAAAAACAGAAGCTAAATTTAGATTCGAAAATATACGAAAACATAAAATTTCTGATCATAATCTTAGATATCAATTGATTGATTGATGAATGAATAAATAAATATAAACAAAACACAATATGCATATAAAGTTGGTCAATTTTTCTTTGATTATCATTATTATGCATCCTAAAATGTATTATTATTTATGAATAGATATTAGTAATGTTGGTGGTGGTGGTTCCCTTGGGCGCCAAACAAACCATGTTGATTGTTTTAGTAATGAATGACTACTGAATAAACCAATGTTTTCTTTTTTTTTCTGGGTCGGGTCATTCGTTAAATGTTTATTATTATTATGATAATTATGTCATTAACATTAATAAAATTTATCCATAAAATTGCTATCATTTTTGTTAAATCAAATATTTGATAATTCTATTCTCGTTAATTATCTAAAATGTTTGATTTATAAACGAATTAAACATTAATTCTGAATTAGTTTTTAGCGACACCGAAAAAAACGGACCTTGAAGTAATATACTATGTGTTGGTGTGTGTCCACTTATAATTGCCCGAAAAAGTAAACAATTTAATCAATGAATGAATGTCAGATTAAAATTGATCATCATCATTACAGTTAAACAACATTAATAAAACGCCCAAATAAAATAAAATATTTACATTTAGATCAATGATCAAACATTTGGATTCATAAATAATGAGAGTTCATTCATTATTTATTCAAACACAAACTTAAAGGAAAGAAAATATATATTTTATGTATTCAAACATGTCATAAAATGATTGACATAAACTTGTTACTTGTATTACACTTTATCTCATACAACATATTATCTTATTAGGATATATAAAGATAATCAAAAGATTTCCAATTAGCCGTTTTTTTTTGAAAAAAATCGAAAAGATAATAATTATCAAGTTAGGCAAAATGTTTTTTTTCTGATCAGGGAAAAAAACAAGAAATCATCACTAATGATCACTATATGAATACTTGTTTTTTTTCCAACCAACCAAACCAAAACAAACCAAACCAACATTCACAATAAGGTCAAAACAGTGATGATGTTGTTGTTCGAAAAGTTCAAAGCTCAAATCCGTTTAGCAAAAAAAATAATGGTCAGCCGAAATATGAATCCGAAAGGGAAAAAGCAAAAAATGAAAGATAATTTGATCATAATAATGATGATGATGATAATGAAGATGATCATCATAATCTCTTTTTTTTGGTTTAATTTATAATAACCACAAATCTAGGTTATTAGTACGATAATAATCTTTTTTTCTATTCACATACCGTCGTCAATCATTCATTGATAAATTGAATGAATGAACACACAGCACAACATCAGAATCCTCATATAAAGATTTACTAAAGAAAGCAAGTGAAAGAGAAGAAAAGAAAAGAAAAAAATTTAGGTTGACCACTAAAATGTTTCCTTGATGATAGTGAAATGAGTAGGTAAAAAAAATTGAAATTTTAATCAATTTTAAATTTTCTTTTTCTTTCAAAAAATAATGGATGTGCACATCTACCCACGACCAACAGATCTTTTTCATTTCTGATAAAACTAAATGATCCAAATATTTTCGAACCAAAAAAAACATCGTCAACAAAATATATTTTTAAATTGTAAGGTGTGCCCATTTGTCTTTCACCATATTGTTATTGTGAATAGCTTGAAGACATTTTTGTCTTTAATCATCAAGGTGAAAACCCTTTTTTTCTCGTTGAAATCAAAAGAACAAATGATAATTTTGGCTATCCAAAATGGATTGAAGTTTTCTATATTGACCATCACAATCAATCGATCGAATGAATGAATGAACCACCCGTTCATAATTATCAATTGATGATTTCTAAAAATAGTTTCATCATACACAAAATAAAACATTTTCAAAAGTTTAAAAATTCAAATTCATTTTCGTTTAAGGATAATCCCAACGAACGAACGAAGGAAAATATAGTTCAATTCAAAACGTTATTTTTTTAAATAGTGAAACAACGAATGAAACAACAACAACAATGAAAAACAATTTCATAATGTTGAACTTGATGATGATGACTTTGAATTTTGAAAAAAATTTAAATTCAAAGTAGAAGAATAGAAGAATAAAACTGGGACAAAAGGTGACAATTGAAAAAAAAACAACAACAAAATCATTATCATCATCAAATAGGATAAAAAAACAGTTCATTTTGATTTCTTTTAGCATCACAAAAAGACGGTTATGATGAATGAGAGAAAAGAAGAATAAAATCTTTTTTCTATATTCAAATGAGATGATATTCAGATTAGGTGATTTTGTTGTTGTTGTTTTCTGAAATTTAATTTAAGCAAAAAAACAAAACAACAAGAAAATCAAGGAAAATTATCATTATTATTCCATGTTTGTTCATCATCATCAAAATCATTCACGTTTTTTTCCTAATAAAAAAAAATAACGGAACAAAGGTCAACAAGGAAGAAAAATTCATTCATTCATTCAATGATGTACGAAAAACATAAACAGACGAAAATAATAATAAAAATGAATGACAGAACAAGAAAACAATGAAAATTCTTTATGATCTTTTTGGTAGAAAAAAGCTAACCAAACAAACAAACAAACAATACAATTTGACCTTTGTTCCTGAATGTAATGTCCCCTTTGTGTATGTTGTTTTTTTTAAATTAAGTTTTTTTTATATTAGGCTTGACTTGACATTATTCGATGGCAATCATCATCATGATGATAATGATGAAAAGAGTAAGTAAATAAAATAAACGGGATAATCCCATATAATAATAATGATGTTTTGACAATATGAATTGAGATCTGTCATCATCATCATCATCATCATAATAATCATTATCAATGTAGTCAAAGATTTAAAGATGTAATCATCATCATTTATTTTAGATTCAAGTAAAAGTCAAATACAATCATTATATAAGCATCAAATGTATTGGGATGCACATGAATGAATGAATGAATGTTTGCAAACATCCATCCATCCATCCAACAACAAAAAAGACAACATGCATGAACATTTACATTTTTCATGAAACAAAATAATAATTTTTCGTCGTTCGATCGTTTTTGGTTAATAATTTTCGAAAACGATGATAGGATAGTGACCACCACCACCATCATCATCAATGATGATGATCATCAACAACAATCATCAAAATATACCAACAAAGCTAACTTAAAAATATTGAATAATCAGAAGAAAAAAAATATATACATTCGAAATCAAATATGAAACAAACACACAAATGCATATAAACATTTGAAGTTGTTGTTGTTTTGAACATCGTCTTTATTTGTTGATGATGATGATGATGATTGTGACCTAGATAGGAACCTTGTTGTTTCTTGTTGTGTGGCTATTTACGAAATAGAAACAAACATTAAAGTATATATTGTAGCCACGATGATGATGATGATTATCTCTTCAATGAACATTGAGCATTGAATTAAGTTAAATTTTTTTTTCTTTTTTCTACCATTACTTATTACAAGGTGCCATTACATTTTCAACTAAACGTATGGAAAACATATATATTCAAAGATTTTAATCTTTATATACAAAAGTCAAAATAGTCGGAGATTTTCATTCATTTATTT